TACCCAATAAACTTTTTTTTTTTGGTGGGATTTGAACTCTGGGCCTGGGCTGTCCCTCAGCTCTTCAGCTCAAGGATAGTGCTCTACCACTTGAGCCACAGTGCCACTTTCAGTTTTCTGAGTGGTTTATTGGGTATAGAGTCTCATGGACACTCCTGCCCTGATTCTCAGATCTCTGCCTCCTGAATAGTTAGGATTACAGGCGTGAGCCATTGGCACCCGGCTCCAATAAACATTTTAAATTATATTTTCTCTTACAATAAGAGAAATAATATCTCCTTTCTGTAATGGCTGTATAATTATTTCATCGTAGAAATTTTTTTTAACCTTCCCCTATAGTCTTTGTGTGAGTAACCTTGAATGGACCGAAGCTGAACTTGGGACAACTATATATGGTTTCAAATAATGTTCCTCTGGACAAGGTGTCAAGAATATCATTATTCACATAAAGTTTTAAGTGCTTGTTATATCAAGCGTTCACAAAAGAGGCCAGAGGTGGTGATATACATCCATAATCCTAGCTACTCAGGAGGCAGAAGTAGAAGGATTGTGGCTCTGGTTAGGTGGGCAAAAGTGCAAGCAAGACCCTTTCTGAGAAACAAACTAAAGAAAAAGGATTGAGAGCATGATCCAGACACAGAGACTTTCTGAGCAAGTGAGAAATCTTTAGTTCAATTCCAAGTACCACACACATACATAGCCACCTCAGTTCACAAAAGAAAGACATCCAGGTGCCAGTTACTGAGATCTGAGGATTGCTGTTCAAAGTCAGCCTAGGCAGAAACATCCTTATGACTCTTATCTCTAATTAATCACAACCCAACCGAAGCTAATAGTGGAGCTGTGGCTCAAGTAGTAGAGTGCTAGCCTTGAGCAAAGAAGCTTGGGGACAAGGCCCGGCCCTGAGTGCGAGATTTCCCCCCCCCCAAAAAAAAAGAAATTCTGAATTCTGAACTATGCCTCTTTTATCCTATGTTATAAATCCTCTTCCCTTATTGAATTTCTTTTTTTTTTAATTTTTATTTATTTATTTTTTTTGTGAACATACTGTACAGAGGGGTTACAATTACATGGGCAGGATAATGCGTACATTTCTTATCAAGCATTGCAGCCTCCTCCTTTGTTTACCCTTCCCATTCCTTTCCATCCCCCCCCACACCCCCCCCCCCAATCTTCCTCCCCCCCCCCCCCCCCCACTACATGCTTTGTTTTGTTTTGGTCAGTTGTGGGACTTGAAGTTTGGGCTTGGGAACTGTCTCTGCACTCTTCAGCTCAAGGCAAGGCTCTACCGCTTGAGCCACAGCACCACTTCCGGTTTTCTAGTGGTTTATTGGAGATGAGTCTTACTGACTTTCCTGCACGGGCTGGCTTTGAATTGTGATCCTCATATCTCAGCATCCTGAGTAGCTAGGATTACAGGCATGAGCCACCAGAGCCCGGCTTCAGCAATTATTTTGTTGAATAGGTTCTCAATGATGCTCTACATTTTTATTTTCTTCCTTGTCAATCACCATAATTAATGATTTTGATCTTTTGAGGGAATCTGAGAAATCTATTTTTTCGGGGGGGGGGTCCGGTTGTGGGGCCTGAACTCTGGCCTGGGCACTTTCCCTCAGCTCTTTAGCTCTACCACTTGAGCCACAGCGCCACTTCCAACTTTTTTTCTTTTTGCTTATGTGGTGCTGAGGAATCGAATCCAGGGCCTCATGCATGCAAGGCAAGCGCTCTACCACTGAGCCACCTTCCCAGCCCTTAGAGAAATCTTGTAAGTGCCCTAGGTATCTTCTAAGTATCTTTGTTTGATCTAATTCCTATGCTTTACCTTTGACCTCTGATTCCCTGCTTTAATTTTGTTTAAACTTCTTTATTTTTGTTTCCGTTCTGTGGCTTGAACTTAGGGCCTGGGCACTGTCCCCTGAGCTTCTTTGGCTCAAGGCTAGCATTCTACCACTTGAGCCAAAGCACCACTTCCAGCCTTTTCTGTGTATATGGGACTGAGGAATCGAACCCAGGGCTTCATGCACGCTGGGCAAGCACTCTACCACTGAGCCACCTTCCCATCTCCTAACTTCTTCTAGACTTTTGGTTGAGTTTTTTGTTTGAGCAGTTTCCAGGACTTTGATTTGCTTTTTTCCCCCGGGTTTCTATTTATTGAATTTCTTGCTCATATCTTGCATTGCCTTCTTTAGTTCATCCAATTGTTTGTATTTTCTTGTTTGTTTGATTTCTCTTCTTGTTTGTTCAATTTTCTTGTTTGTTGAAATTGTCTTTAAATTCATGTTTTTTTTTTTTTTTTGTTTTTTGTTTTTTGTTGGTCGTGGGGCTTGAACTCTGGGCCTGGGCGCTGTCCCTGCATCTTCAGCTCAAGGCTAGCACTCTACTGCTTGAGCCACAGCACCACTTCTGGTTTTCTAGTGGTTTATTGGAGATAAGAGTCTCATGGACTTTCCTGCCTGGACTGGCTTTGAACTGTGATCCTCAGATCTCAGCCTCCTGAGTAGCTAGGATTACAGGCATGAGCCACTGGCGCCCGGCTAAATTCATATGGTTTTTTAAACATCTCTTTATTTCATTAACCATTCTTACCATTGTTTCATCGAGCTTATTGTTTTGACTTTCTTTTTCTTCACTCTCACTTAAGACCTTTATTGTGGTGTAACTGGTTTTTAAGGGAAGCATATTACTTTATTCATGAATTTTGTGACCTTTCTCTGGGATTTACTATTCTGGGTCCAGGATTTATTGAGACTTACTGTGCTATACATTTTCAAGATTTTTTTTTTTTTTGCAGCTTCGTTAAGATAAGTTGATAGCAGGATGGTGGTATGTAGATTGGCAGAGTATGTTTCTGTTGATAAATAGTTGATTTCAGTGCTTAAGACATTGTATGGAATCTTCTCCACTCAGGGTGAGAAAGCTTGGTTTTGCAAGACATTACATGTAGTAAACCACAGCCTTGTGTTTGTGGTAAGTTTTAATGGAAACTAGTCACTTCTATTGCTCAGATCTTTTAGATGAATATAAGATCCAAGATATATCTTGGTGCTCTTGGTAGTTCTTCCTTACTAGTAGTAGGAATGAGACAGAAAGGATAGTCCTGGTGTTAGCAATCTTCAGGCACCCTTCTCCAGCCAGGAGAGCAGGATGCCAGCTCAGGACTCCTTGCCCTTTTCTTTGGTGGTTCTTTATAAATTCCTACAACTTCTTGAACTCCTTGTAGTTTCTCCTTTCTTTCTTCTTCCTTCCTCAGAATCTTGTTACTTTTATGTAATTGGTGGATTCTTTACATTTACAGGTTGAAAATGGTGGCTGCTTCCAATCTGCCATCTTACTCTTTCTCTCTGAAATCTATCTTCATTTTCTCACTTGTAAAATGAAGATGATGGAACTTAGTTGAGACAATTAAATTATATAATTCTAGGCATAGTGCCTAGAATATATTGAATGTCCAATAAATATATCATGGGCACTATGAGCATTCTTTTTTTTGGGGGGGGGGTCTGGTCGTGGGGCCTGAACTCTGGGCCTGGGTGCTGTCCCTCAGCTCTTCAGTTCAAGGCTAGTGCTCTACCACTTGAGCCACAGCACCACTTCCGGCTTTTTTCTTTTTGCTTATGTGGTGCTGAGGAATTGAACCCAGGGCCTCAGGCATGCAAGGCAAGCACTCTACCACTGAGCCACCTTCCCAGCCCCTGAGCATTCTTATCTATAGCCTTATTTCTTTTTCCCCTCACCATTATAATTTTTGTATTATTTGTTCTAAATGCAGCATAACTGATATGGGATCCTGGACTTACATCTCTCCTACTTTATATAAAAAGTTTAAGGCCTCTGTGAGCTCTGTTTTCAAACTTTTACTTTTTCTTTTCTGACAGCTTTTAAAAGATAAGTGTTTTTTTTCCCACAGGATACATTTACGTCATTTCATAAAATAATAAGGTTTCTTGTTTAGATTTACTTTTGTTTCTGGTGCTGGTCCTGCTGAGCCTTGAACTCAGGGCCTAGGCACTTTTTTTTTTTTTGGCTCAAGTTTAGCACTCTGCCACTTGAGCCACAGCTCCACTGCTAGCATTTTTTTGGTGGGTAATTAGAGATAAGAGTCTCACAGATTTTCCTGCCTGGGCTAAATCCTCAGCCTTCTGAGTAGCTAGGATTACAGGAATGAGCCACTGACACCCGGCTTATTTCTCAGCTAGATTTACTTACTTTTTTTTTTCTTTTTTGTAAAAAACCTTGGCAGAACAAGCAAGCAGACAAACAAAAAGGCAGAGGCATACTAACAGAATGTGGAGAACATTGAGAGAAACCTAGATTTACTTTTTAAGCACAAAACCTAGTAATATTAAAGAGGGGCCTTATGTCATGACAGTTGTTTCTCTTCTCCCGTATACTAGCAACAGGCTCCTGACTTTTAACCAATTGTTAAAAGAAAGAATGAAAATAAAACATGTGTTCTTTGTCAGTAATCTTTGTGTGGAATATCAGTTCTTAGGAAAGAAACATAAATGAAATAGTCATAATAAATCAAAGAATTATACAAAGAGTTTTCAATCTAAAAAGCTGATTCATATTCAGGGCAAATGGTAAAAATATTTCATGAGTTATTTTTGCTATTTATGGGAATTTTTGTTAATGTCCTGGCAAGAAATTTTTTGGCGGGGGGGTCAGTCATGGGGCTTGAACTCTGGGCCTGGGCACTGTCCCTTAAGCTCTGCAGCTCAAGGATAGCACTCTACCATTTGAGCCACAGTGCCACTTCTGTTTTTTTAGTGGTTTATTGGAGTTTCATGGCTTTTCTTGCCTGGGCTGGCTCTGAACCACAATCCTCAGATCTCAGCTTCCTGAGTAGCTAGGATTACAGGTGTGAGCCTCCAGCGCCTGGCTTGAAAATAAATTATTGACTGTGATTTTCTATTGATGATAGTCTAGAAAAAATGTTCGTTACCTTCTTTCTCATTTCCCTCTAACATTCTTCCTGCTTTCTTTTTCTTTTCTCTTAGCTTTTGTCAGGAATAGTCAGTCTTCCCAGATGTGCCAGGAAAGCAATTTCTCCGCTGTCATCCACTTCTCACTGTCATCCAAGATCTGTTTAGAAAATGGTAAGAACCTTTATCCACTCAAATCAGGGTAAGATCCTTTAGCCACTCAAATCAGGGTCATCTCTGATGAGCAGTCAGAGTGGGAGTCACCTATATGTCTTGGACTGCGAACTTTGCTCCAAGACATCCTTTTCCTGGAACTGAGTCAAACACCCACAGCCTGTAAGTTAAATTTTTATAGTCTTTCCTCTCTCGTCCAGCTATCCTTGATTTTTGCTCCATATGCCCTATGAGGTTTTTCTTCATGTTCTTAAGAACCAGGTTTTATGGCAATGTTCTTGTTCTTGGAACATTCATGTTCTTAGAATACAGGCCCAGGGTCCTTACACAATAAAAACAAACAGTTTTGCTCCTTATCAGGAACAAAAGTTTGTGTGTGAAGTGGCCAACTTTTGTTCTTACCTCGGTTGTTATCAGAGACCATCCAGGGTTTTTCAAATTGAATAAGTTTATAAGGTAGATAGGATATGAGTTGTTAGGAAAAGCCAAGCTTGCTATCCTTTGGAACAGAAGATAGATATGACATACTACAGTAAACTGCTGCATGACTCAGGGAATACAGGGAGTACTCAGAGAATGATGACTCAGGGAGTACAGGAGGATTGACTGTTGTGGGTCTCACAGACCTGCTTTTCATGACCTTTTATCAACTCTAAGAACTGCTGAAAGATTCTTGACTTAGAGGATGTGCTTAGGTGCCAAGTGTCCCTTTCATATCTTAATCCCAATTGCCTACCTTCTCCTCCTCCTCCTCCACCTCCCTCCCCTCCTCTTCTACTTCGTTTTTTCTTCATCTTCCTACTCTTCTTCTTCCCTATCTCTTCCTTCTTGCCCTCCTCATCCCCTTCCTTGTCCACCTTTTTTTCCCTCCCCCTACTCCCCTTCTCACTCCCTCTTTTCCTCTTCCCCAAACCTCCCCTGGGGATGGAATCCAGAGTCTTTAGCATGCTTTATGAGAGCTCTATCACTGGGCTATATTCCAGCTCCTCCTTACATATACTTCTGAATTGGATGTGTCAAGGGATCAGAATTTAGAACTGGCACTCTCTAACTAAGGTGGGCCAGATAGGAAATAGAGCTAAGGGCATATGCTAAGCATAAGCACAGTTAAATGTATTTTGTTATGTAGGAATTAAGTATATAAGGTATTCAGCAAGTCCAACATGAAAATGCTCAGAAATTCAAATGAAGTGGTCTAGTAACAGGAAATCTCTCAGCAGGAAATCTAATAGCAAGCCTTTTGGTAGTCACTGGTAGTCTATGAGCTTCTATTGAGCTCTCCTTTCATGACGAAGAAAATAGTTCTTGTGACTCCTAGATTCACATATTTTCTGTTTAGGAAACAAGTGATTTCTTTTCTTCCAGTTTCATATGTCAGTCTTAGGTAATGACTCTCATTAGCTTTGATCAAGTGATACAAATGTCCTTCTTGGAAGATGAAGTAATATCGTTGGTCAGACCTAGATTATTAGCTTGCAGATGGTAAAAGAATGTAATCATCAATCCAGCTTGAGCCATATGACATGGAGCCATATGACATCTCCTAAAGAAGAGATGTCATGTACTTTCATAATCTAGGGCTAAGGTGAGGAATGGAGGTTGAAGAAAAACATGGGAGGAGCCACATTGCCCCAATGCAAAGCTTTACCTAGAGTTGTGGCTAAAATGAAGAACTTATTGCAAAGACAAAGGCCTGGAGATGGAGCACAGTATACCCATTGTAATTACACTTGAGTGTTGCCTAAGTATGGGGCAAAAATTCGAGAGATAACACAAAAGTTAACAGCGTTGGTTTGGTAGGAAGCCATGTTCTCCTTTCCCCCTCCCAACTTTATTATTTTTAATGCTTTATTAAATAGACTAGACTCAGTGGGATAAAATAAATAAATGGCAGGTTTTCCTCTTTCCCCAGATTTCTACCTGAAAGCTGCCTGTGAATCTGTCCATTGGGTCACTACAAGGGTAAACTTTTTACATGAGAGCTGAGAGCAGCCTTTGAGACTAGCTTATTCAATTCTCTCATTGTACAGAGGAGAAAACTGAAGTCCAGAAATATTAGACACCTAAGTTCATTAGTGGGAGAATCCTAAAGAGAGCCTCTCTCCTCTATGTATTCTCTCCATAGTTGAGAAGGGGAAGGGAGTGCAGAGGAATCTGATCAGTAGATTTGCATGGGTTATAAAGGTTGTGGTACGACCTCATATAATTAAGATTGGGGCTGGGAAGGTGGCTCAGAGGTAGAGTGCTTGCCTTGCATGCCTGAGGCCCTGGGTTCGATTCCTCAGCACCACATAAGCAAAAAGAAAAAAGCTGGAAGTGGTGCTGTG